GGTGTCCATACGGACAAGCACTGCGCGACGCTGGTCAAGGGCACGCCCGGCGTGCTGCACGGCACGCGCACGATGCTGCTGCAGGACCCCGAGGGCCAGATCAAGTCCACGCACTCGATCTCGGCCGGGCTGGACTACCCCGGCGTCGGACCCGAGCACGCGTGGCTGCTCGAGTCGAAGCGCGCCGAGTACGTGGCGGTGAGCGACGAGCAGGCCCTGGAGGGCTTCAAGGAGCTCACGCGCAAGGAGGGCCTCATGCCGGCCCTGGAGACGTCGCACGCCGTCTACCACGCCATCCAGCTGGCCAAGACCATGAAGCCCGACCAGATCATCCTCGTCTGCATGAGCGGTCGGGCCGACAAGGACATGGGCACCCTCTCCGCCGCCCTGGGCGTCACCCTCCACTAATGCCGTAGCCTTGTGGGCGTGGCTTGAAATTACCTAAATTGTCTACACTGTGTGATCGGCTGGTTGATTTGTGGTATATCCTAGTGGCGATCCTGTATCGTGCCTCCCACACACACACACACACTGCACGTTTAAAGGCCTTTAAAGGCTGCAGAGGGCCAACGATGTAGATGATGTGTGGCTGCCGCTCGGCCGCGACCTAACTCACCAAGAGGCGTGCTGGATGGCAGGCTGGCGATGCGCCAACTCAAGCAGCGCTCAACGAGGGCAACCAACGAAAGTCGGCGATGTCGTCGGCTGACTGGACATTCGGTGCGTGTTGTGTGCGTGTTCATGTGCGAAACGGCGCCACGGGTAGGGCCAAAGGCGAGCAGAAGCTGGCAGACTGCCCTACATCTTCCCCTCTTGCCACCCTGTTGCCGCATTAGTGGTCCGAGCTTACGAAGCCCAAGGGGCCGAGAGGGGCGCCCACTCGGCGGTGGTCATGTGGTCCAAGCCAGGGGACCACCGTGGGACGCTTCTACGTGCGCCATGGCCTAGGCCACCTGCAGCTGCTCAAGTGGGCTCGAGCCCACGATTGCTTACACCAATGGGGCAACGCCCCCCCTCTTTCCTCTCTTGCTGTGGGTGGAAGTGGAAGAAAGAGCAGAATGAGCAATGACAAAGATCTATTAACCTCTCGACGGTCTTTTGTGAGTGAACCAGGTCCCTCGCTACTTCTTCAGCAGGGCGATCAGGGAGATATTGTCCCAGGTAGCGGTCTGAAACCACTCCTTCACAATGGCCGCCGCTTGGTCCCGCTCTGGGGCGTAGGACGCCTTCACCCCAGGCTTGTCCAGCATCATCCCGACGACTTCGTCGGTTGGCTCTATGCCGGTCCACTCAGCTTCGAAGGGAGACATGCTAACGATCTGGTCGTTGGTGAAGCCAGCAGCGTTCAGCTGTCTCGTGAGCTCATCAGGGTCACCCAGCCTGTAGACCATGCGTGCCGTTGCTTCGGATTGCGCCTCGTCAGCGGCCTCTGTTGCCGAGGTCTGAGGAAAAGCAGCACGCAACCGCTGGGCGATTTCCTGCATCAGCCGCAGCGTTGCCACTTTCTTCCAGACGACGATGACTGCACGCCCGCCAGGACGCAGCACTCTCAGCATTTCCCTGATGAGAATAGCGTGAGGTTATGTAGGCTCTAACACGTGATGCGGAGGCAGACTCTACCTGAAGCTTTTGACCACATCGGGGAAGAACATCACGCCAAACACACACCCAATGGCGTCCACACTTTCATCCCTCAGCGAGCTCATGTCCTGAAACAGAAGAGAGATCAGGTTGGTGAACATCACGCGGCGGAAGAAGGACGGGATGCCTGTCACCTCTCCATCCATCTGTTTGCATTCAACGATGTCGCTGAGACCCTGGTCGTGCGCTTCGGTCCTGCAGGCGGCTACCATGGCCTCGGCGAAGTCCGTCGCCAGCACCTTGTAGTCTTTGTCACTGGCATGGACGCGCTGGAGCTCCTGAGCTGCCTGCAGTGCGAAAGCGCCGGTACCGGCGGCAACGTCAAGTACAACGCGGTCTTCCTTTCCGAGGTTGAGCAATCGTAGAGCCTCGGCCGAGTGCAGCCGGGTAAGCTGGATCGCAAATGTGTTGTACTGCTTCGCGAGCTTGCTCCATTCGTCAGGGTTGGCAGCGTGGGTGGATTGCGTGATGGTTCTGTTGGTGGCGCTGGATGGTTGCGTTTTGCTGTCGCGGCCTTTTGTTCTTGCGATTCGAGCTGGCGGCCAATCACCAATAAGGCGCGCTATGTCCCCAAAAGGACAAGCTCAGGAATGCCCTGCATCCACCCCCTTTTTGTGCCCTATTAAATTCAATTGAATCAAACCAATCTCTGCAATTGGCTCCCCTTTCTCGGGGATATATCTCCCTTCCACGTGATGAACACTGGGATAAATCCTGGTAAAAAATTCTCAAAGCATCCTTTTCTCATGATTTTTTGATTGGCAAGCCAGAGATGCCCTCATGCAGTGACATTTCTGTGGTTGCATGCTGTGAAAGGACAACACTATTTATGCAGAAGCAACAGTGCTCAAGAATAGATGTTGGTGGTGGTCAGGGCAGTGCAAGTTGTTATTCTGTGCTTGATGCTGCTGGTCATGGAGGCAGTCATGGCAGCTAGCCTGGTCAGTGCTGGTTTCTTGTTGCCATGGCCCCTTGCCCCTGCTTCACCATCCAGGCCAGGATCATTGTTTTGGCCATAAAACTGTGAGCCACACTCCTGAAGGCTACCATAGAGATCAACAAAAAACACTACATCACCTCATCAATGTGCATGCTGTATGAAGCATGTGCACTCCACTGATGCAACAGACATGATGTGAGGCAGCTGGGCATGAGGAGTCAGCATAATGCTGTGCAGCACAATGCTGTCATAGGAAAGGAGAGCACAGACAAGAATGTTAGTTCCAGTACCCCAACATGCTGGCACTGCCATGCCCAGGCTAAATGCTGATGTCTTTGCATTCAAGAATCCTGTAGTTGTGGCATGGCTGTGCAGATCGACAGGCGATGGCCATCATCCATGGCCACGCTTCTTGTCATCGTTGTCATTGGTGAAGTGGACGGTCTGGTGGTTGGGCTGTGCTTGAGCTGTAGGCCTCGTGCGCCGATCTTGGGGAGGCCAGAGATGGCTGAGGCCGGCGATGATGGCCATCATCCACTAGAGGCACACCAATCGACAAAGGGGCCGGACCATAGGATTAAAAGAGTGTCAATAATATATTCTTTTCTATCATCAACAACTTTTCAGGTGATGCGCGGGTCGGGGCCGGACGACGGTAAAGATGAAGATGACGACGACGGCGAAGAAGAGGAGGGCAGCCGCGCGGCTTGTGGCGTGGGGAATGGCGGAGGTGCGGAGGAGGAGGAGGAGAAATCCGGCGAGCCCAGGACCGCCGCGCATCTGCGCTTGGCGCTGCGTAGCGCCGGGAAAGCGACCACCCACCGGTCCAAGATCTGCGCCCACGCGTGACGTTTCACGTTCCCCATAGAAGGCCACAGCATCAGCGTCGTCGTCATCATCATCATCATCATCATTGTCATCATCAATAGCTAAGTGTGGCGAACCTGGAGCAGCTGTCGCATCGAATCAACCTCGTGCATGTCTCGAAACACGTCGACCACGGAGAATATGGACAAGCTCCCATTGCTGCCCAAAATAAATAAATAAAGATAAATAAATAAATAAAAAAGAGGGAGTGCGATGTGTGCGTGCGACATTTACCTCGCGTAGATGCTGGCCGGAAGAGAACCGATGCGAAGGAATTCTTTGGCCCACCCCAGCGCCATCTGCGGCTGTTGGTCGTGACAGGTGTGAGTGAGTGTTGGTTGCGTGTGTGTGTGTGTGTTGCGTGTGTTGCTGACATGGTTCGTTTCACAGCACGACGTGGAATTGATAGGGGGGGGGTTACCTGCGACAGGCTGCGCCAGCATTCAGCCCTCAGACGGTAGAGGTACAGCCGAAGAGACACATAGACCGAATCCGAGAACTCTGGATTGCCTTCAAACGCACACGCACGACGAACGCACGTACACGACGCACGACATAACACACAACGCACGACGCACGACGCACGGCACACACACACGACCGCACACGCATGAGTTGAGACGATGGAAGAGAGTCGGTTGGGTTGGGTTTCTGGGTACTCTTGCCGCCGGACTCACGGTAGTACTGGTGGAACTGGGTCTCCATG